TAAAGCGTGTTCTGGCTTTGGCTCATTCTGACGCTGCTTAAGTGCTGATGAACTGTTGTTGTCTTTATCAGAGTTCAGAGTGTTGAGCGTAGATCTGTTCATCAAGCTTCAGCATAAGCGCAAGTTGATCTTCTGATTCTGGTATCTGATATAGCATCTTCTGATGCTGATGTTGATATCCAATTTTCTGATGCTGATGAGGATGTTCTCCTGCTGATACCCATCAGAGTTTCTGTAAAACATAATGTAATTTTTAGATAGCATATGTGTCTTACATGAATCATACAATCAATGTATCTTAGCATTTTGTTATCATCAAAACTTAAACTTAGGGTAGTAGATTCAAACTTTGTTCTAACAAAATATTCAAAGATGCTTGCTGCCAAGTTCAGGCCTAGTACACTGGCCAAAAATGCTGCACAGCAGTCCTGAAACACTGCCTCATTCTTGCACCAAAATAGCATACAAGGCACTATCTCTCGAAAGTTACAAGGAGCAGGTTACTCAAATTGTTCAAACCTTTTGTTTTTCCTCCAAAAGCTTCAGGCATCTTTTCCTACAAATAAGAGGCCCCAACACATGTTTGAGGAGGACTTTTTGGCCAGAGGAACGTATCTTCAAATTTCTCAAACACCATAAAGCTCTCAAACACTTAAACACTTGTGAAAACACAAACCCATAATCCAAACACTTGTCCCCTTTGAATCTGAAGCATCCTTGTACCTTGTTACCCTTCGAATCCAGCAGGAAGAACCTCACATTGGTTCTTCTCTTTTGAATCCAGTATCAAAGGCCTAACCACTGGTCCCTCCCTTCGAATCCAGAAGCGTTCAAGGCAACCACCTAAAGGCCCAACACACGTCCCAGCCTCAAGCAAGGTAAGTCATTCTTAACCTTGGATCCTTTGTTTCTATCACAACATGTAAATACAATTCCTTTTCGTTTCAAACATATACATAGCATTTGTTCCCTTTCGTTTACACCCTTTTAGTTTGTTTTTATTGCCTTTCCTTTTGATTTTGTTCTTTGGTTTCTTACAAATGTTTTTAAGAACTAACCTGGCCCTAAGGTAATGCTAGCATGGCCTTAGGCCACGTTTCTATTTAATATCTCAAACTAAAGAAACAGGAGATAGGAGTATGAAACGAAGCCTCTGGCGTCCTCACTGATTTCAGGCCCAGCCAGAAGGCACACTATGCTGACTTCCAGGCCCAGACGAAAGGTATTCCCTCACTTATTTCAACCCCCAGTCGAAGGAGGCAGAAAAGCATATTGCATCTTGCACTGATTCCAAGCCCATTCGAAAGGCATAACATGCTGGCCTCCAGGCCATAATCAAAAGGCACGTCTACACTGGCTCTATACCCCAAATCGAAGGAAGCAAAAAGTGCATAATCGAAGGGTTTTCTGCCTAAATTGAAAGACCCATTTTTTCTTATTTTTATTTTATTTTAGCCTTTATATTTTCATGCAATTCAATATGGTTGTAATAGTGTAGGATTTTATTTTTCTGCATTTTATTACTTTTATATGATTGCTAGTAAAATAGGGTATGTATGGCAAGATAAAAACAACGAGTAGACAACCCATAATCAAAGAGTAAATACATGCAAATCAAACACACTATTCACACATGCATCTTTAGGGTAATCTCACTTGTTGCCTCAGAAAAATAGTCATGTCCCTCGAATATGGGCGTTTTAGCAAAGACCCTCGATAAAAGATCGTAGTCCCTCGATGACCCTCAATGTTGCCTTCGGTAAACGATCTAGTCCCTAAACGACATTGCTAAAACGTCTCATAGGTTGCCTTCTATGACTATACAAATGTCCCATGTCCGTCTCTTCACATCCAACAATGGGGCTTCTTAGCAAATCAATGGTAAGATAGCAACATCTAAAGGAGGAGGAAAAGAACATTTAAGACCTTTTGAGTAGGTAGGTTGCTCCTAGTTGCTCGCTTGTTCACAACAAAAACATTGTATACACCAACACTTTCATTTTGAAACATTTTCAAAAGACAAACACTTTGTACGCGTTCTTATAGAAACGAGAACCATTACAAAGACACCTTTTTAAAATCACTTTTAAAAACACATTCCACAAACACTTCTTTGAACTATTTTCCAAACAACATTTTGTACGCGTTCTTATAGAAACGAGAACCATTACAAAGACGTTTTCAAAATACTTTCAAAACCCACACCATAAGCACATTTTTAAATAAAAGCAACTAAGAGCCCGTAGATAACTACAGATGAAAAGGATGCTAATACCTTCCCTTTTCATAACCTACCCCCCGAACTCAAGAAATAATCTCGAAAAGTCTTTCCTGTTCTTTTCAACCTTTCTTTATTGGATAAAAGAAAAGTCGGTGGCGACTCTTGCTATCCGTAACAATTGCGATCAAACACAAAAAACCCAAATCAGTTCTCCAACCGTGTTACACATTCCATTTTATTATAATGCTTGGATTAGTGTGCATCACAATACTATGAATATTTAGTAGTTAAATAATTTATTATTTTTTCCTATTGTTTCTCAGTTGCTCATACATAGAGGTATACTACTATTTTGCCTTGGAAAGAGACATTTACTTTCATGTACAATCACAACAGCAAAAATGAGACACTGGTTATTGATGTTGTTGATTCTCTCTTAGGTCGAGATTTTCAACAAACTAGATAAGAACTAAGAACTTCACTCCATCAAGCTCTATATATATTATTTTAATTTTAAAAAAAAATAGGCTTATTGTTTATATTTTGAATAGGTTGGTGTATCAAAAATATTGTGATGCAATGAATGATTTAACTAAGATGCTTTTGGAGCTATTGGCCATTAGTTTGGGTGTGGATGGTAAGCATTACCAAAGCTTTTTTTGAAGATGTTGTGTCAATGATGCGATGCAACTTTTATCCATAAATAATATATAATAAGACTTATTGTATCAACCATAGTTCATTATGGTTTTTATAATGGTAAATTAATAAATGGTGTACCTTGGTTACAAGTCATCATCCTACATTATTTTCTTAAGTTCTATAGAAAAATAGTGGGTTTCAATTTTCAAGGTAATTATGTTGTATGGATTGTGATGAGCGCAAATTAAATGAAGTCGTTTTTCTTTTAACTATGTTATGTTTATCAATAATATTATTTGGAACAAAATTTGAATGAGAAATATTTTGGATCGACCATTGAAAAGGTAGAAGTTCAATCATCAACCCCGATCACTCCATTGACCTAAATGTGGTATGTGTGATGTTAGAAAAATATGAAAAATTATGTACCAAAAAAAATTAGTGATTCCGCTAAAAAAATAGTCTAATATTTTTAAAAACGCAGCAAAGATATTACATCGGTGCATAAAGACCACCGATAACAGAAATTTTACATCGGTCCTTAAAGACCACCAACGTTAAAACATATATTTTACATCGGGCTGTAACAACAACCGATGTAAAATATGTCATCTATTGTAAAACAAATAATGTTAATTCCATTTTTCACATCGGACTGTGGTCCGATATAAAATATTTTTAATTTACTAAATCGTTTAGATTTACATCGAATTCAGAACCAATATAAAATATATTTTTCTCTCGATATAAAAAGTTTTTTCTGCACTAATGTTTGACGCTCTTCAAAGAATGGTCATTCCTAATCAAATATATCTTTAAGGTTGTACATTTCTTAATACACCCTACTTTCCTGAGGTAATTCGATTCAATTTCAATCAATTATATATTTCCAAAAGATCTCAGAAGTAAATATATAAAAAATAACATTAGAGAATAATGCATCAGTGGACTTAAAAAAGAATAACATTATTACCCCATTTGAATCATCCATCTTTGTTGGAAAGCTAAAATCAGCTTTTACTCCCCCGTCTCTTTTACTTCCATCCCCTCCAAAAAGAAAACTAAACCAAACATCTTGACATTAAGTCATCCCCTCCATGCTCTACCACCAAAAAGAATCTTCATAAAAAATGAATTACATTTAAAATTTATAAGAATTTATTAATCCTATAAATACTATTTTCTTATTGAAATTCCTTGTGTTACATACTAGTACTATTTTAGCCTTCCTTCCTCTAGTAGAAAAACAATTTAAGAGGCAATTAATTGGTGCTTCACATCTATTGCAACCAAGTGTTACTCGCCAAACGTTTACATTGATTTAGCAACACAAACTGCCCCATAACCTTAGCTTGTTCTTATTATAATGTTAAGCAATTTTGAAGTTACAATTTACAACCTTCATTTAAACTTCAACTAAAATAAGCTAGCTAGCATGTATATATAGTTACTACATTTTGCACAACAAGCAATTAAATCTTCAATATTGAATACTCAACATTAAAAACTTTACCATCCATATCAATAGAATTCAAAAGTCTCTATTGAAGTTGGCCACCTTCACAATAATGATTAGAACCACCCTACCTAATCATATTTTCACTTACTTCAACCCAAACAAATCACAACTATGTACTATAATCCTATTAGTGCATGTCATTACACATTTATAGACTTGATAAGTTGGACAAAAACTATTTTATTTTTAATCATAAGGATTAGCACATAATATGACAATAAGGTGTTAAAACGTCTTTAAGAGATGATCCGTAAAACAATTTTGATCTTATAAATTGATTTTGAACATTTGAGTTAGACCGAAGTCAAATTTTAAAATATTATCAATGTATATTCAAAGTTTGATGCACCACCTAAAATAATTTTGACTTTATAAATCGGTTTTGAAAAACTGAGTTAGACTCAACTCAAATTTATCTGATATTTGGTATTAAACCACTTACATCGTGATCCAGATGTCTCTGGTGTAAGATACGGAAGAAGTGACCGGTTTCATTCGCATTGAAAAATATTTATACTTTCATAAATACACCACCCATCAACCAAACCCTTCTAACATTTTAAAACTACCACAATTCAATCTATAGTTCTCATCATGCATGTTGTCATTAGTAGCACCATGGAATTTTATGGAAAGAGAACACTCCTCACCTTAATGGACAAAGAAAAACCAGAACAACCAGAATCCCCCAACATTCACCTTCGTCTCCAAATCCAAACTCACAGAGAAACAAATGAACAAGACCTTCAGTTTAGTCCACCAAGACCTTCTATCTTCCCACAATCACCATGGACACTCTCTCATCTTCCATCTCCTCCCCCTTCATTGCTCTACCATTGCATCGCCTCCCTCCATCGCCACGAAGGAAACATCTACTCCATTGCAGCTTCGAAAGGCTTCATCTTTACCGGATCCAACAGTAGTCGAATTCGTGTTTGGAAGCAGCCAGATTGCATGGACAAAGGCTACCTCAAATCAAACTCCGGCGAGGTTCGCGCCATTTTAGCTTATAACAACATGGTTTTCACCACACACAAAGATCACAAAATCAGAATATGGAACTTCAGTGTTTCAGAAAGCTTCAAATCCAAGAAAGTAGCTACTCTTCCAAAGAGAAAAAACAACTCTCTTCTAAACTTCAACCGAACAAAAAACAACAACAATGCTCACAATTACAAACACAAAGAAACCATTTCTTGCATGGCTTATTACCATTCAGAAGGGTTGTTATACACTGGCTCTCATGACAGAACTGTAAAAGCTTGGAGAATCTTTGATGGAAAATGCATTGATTCATTTCTAGCACATGGAGATCATGTAAATGCTGTATTGGTGAACCAAGACGATGGTTGTGTTTTCACATGTTCTTCTGATGGATCAGTGAAAATATGGAGAAGGGTATACACAGAAAACTCACACACATTAACAATGACACTAAAGTTTCAGGCTTCACCAGTGAACACACTAGCACTGAGTTCATCCTTCAACCATTGTTTTCTGTATTCAGGAACTTCAGATGGAATGATAAATTTCTGGGAGAAGGAGAGGTTGTGTTATAGGTTCAACCATGGAGGGTTTCTGCAGGGTCATAGATTTGCAGTACTTTGTGTTGTGACAGTAGGGAACAACATGGTGTTTAGTGGCTCGGAGGATACGACGATACGGGTTTGGAGAAGAGAAGAAGGGAGTTGTTATCATGAATGTTTGGCTGTTTTGGATGGACATAGAGGACCTGTGAGGTGTTTGGCTGCTTGTCTTGAGATGGAAAAGGTTGTTGTTGGGTTTTTGGTTTATAGTGGGAGTTTGGATATGACCTTTAAGGTTTGGAGGATTAAGGTTTTTTGTGAGGATGAGAATGTGTATTTGGATGTTGTTGGTGAAAAGTGTGATGGGAGAGTGAAGAAGATTAGGGAGTATGATATGAGTCCTGTTTTGTCACCTTCTTGGGTTGAGAAGAAACTTCAAGGTAGTAGTCCTTTTCAGTAATCCTAGGATGATGATTGGATAACTAGATTCTAGTTTTTTGTTTGTAATATGTTTATGTTCTGTTCTTATGTATGCTAACAATGACCACTCTTTTGTTAAACAAATTATCTCATTCTTTTTAACACTCTTTTATTTGTTGGAAATTAGATTGAATTCACTAATTTTAAGTGTGATCCACTTAATTTTGAGAAATATAATTATGAAAGTCTTCTCATTCAAACACAAAAAGTCTTCTAAGGACTTCCATCAATGTTAATGATAATGCAAGAGAGAGTAAGGGAGTTTCATGCACGTGATGAGTTTTGTTGAAGCGATAGATGAAGGAGTTTGTCATGTTACGAGTCAAGAAGTGGCAGAATAATGAAATGTTTTCTTAAATGACACAAGTAAAATATATTTTCCTTCATTGAATGGAAATCTATCCCTCCAAACCAAAATGGGTGCACAAAATCTGAAGTTGCCGTATTAAGAGGATGCAACATGGAAGAGTAGTTACCGGATTTTGATTGGTGAGACAAAAAAGAACTTGGTAATACAAAATTGGTGATATACATTAGCTTATGCATCTGTTCAGCTGTATATTTTTGATTGGCTTACTGTTAGGCATTTGCTATTGGTTGAGTTTGTTGTAGAGGTAGTTATATATTGACCCACTTGTAATACTGATATAAAAAAAATCTTATCCTCTATTGTAACAATAGAAAGGAATTCTGGATTTTATAGAAACTGCGGAGAGTGCAGATTGTTGAATGCAGAGCATTCTTCATCTTCTACATGGTATCATCGTGAACGATCCATCCACATTCCGCTCATCTCTCTTCTCCTTCTGGTATCTCTGCAGTATCTCTGTTCTCTGTTCTTCATTCTCATCTCTGCATCATGGCCACTGAAAATCAAGAAGGACAGTCCTCATTCACCCCCTTCTCCACTGGCAACAATGGATTTGGACCTCGTCTCTCCATCAAGTTCCAAGAGAACAATTTTCTCCTTTGGAATCAACAGGTTGAAGGAATCATCCTTTCTCACAAACTTCACAAATTCGTCGTGAATCCACAAATTCCCCCAATCTTTGATTCAGAAGAAAATCGTATAACCAACAAAGTTTCAGCTGTGTATGAATCTTGAATTGTACAAGATCAAACATTATTCTCATGGCTGCTCTCGACGATTTCCGAATCTGTTCTTCCAAGAGTCCTCTCCTGCAAACACTCATATCAAATTTGGGATAAAATCCACAAACATTTCAATGCAGTGATGAAAGCTAGGGTTCACCAGCTGCGTTCTGAATTGAAAACCACCAAGAAAGGGAATAGGTCAATCTCTGAGTATGTGCTGAGAATTAGGGCTATCGTTGATGCACTGCTAGCTATTGGTGATCCCATCTCAGAGAGAGATCAAATTGATTCCATCTTACAGGGGGCTTCCGGAGGAGTACAATCCATTTGTCATGATGACGCATGGAAAAGGTGAGCTATCCTCCATTTATGATGTGGAAGCTCTCCTCTATGTCCAAGAAGCACAACTTGACAAGTATCGTCAAGAACTCGCACTTACCACGACCACTGCAAATCTCGCCTATACTGAAGATCAGACAAGTTCCAAGACCACCAGAGGTAGCTTTCAGCAGTCAAGGGGACGTGGCTCTGGCTCCAGAGGTCGTGGTCGCACCAGGGCACACAATGCTTACACTCAAGGAAATCGCCCTACATGCCAACTCTGTGGAAAATATGGCCATGCTGTCATCAATTGCTGGCACAGGTATGATGAAAACTTTGAACCTATGGCGCCTAAAGCTAATCAGCAGCCTACTCAGTCAAAAGATCAACAGAAGAATGAAGCCTCAAGTTCTGCACAAGCCTCTGCATTCCTAGCACATCAAGAAGATTTCAGCCTTCCAACAAATCTTGAATCACAGGCTTGGTTCGCGGATTCAGGTGCATCCCATCATATCACCTCTAGAAACTATCATAGTAAACACACTAAACCTTATTCTGGCAATAATGAAGTCATTATAGGGAATGGTAAAGGTCTGAAAATGAATCTGTAGGAATAGCTCATATTAAGCCTAACAATACTTCCAGTTATTTGCTGAGTCTGAATGATATGCTTCATGTTCCTAGCATAACTAGAAATCTGCTATCTGTTTCCAAATTTGCCAAAGACAACAAGGTCTTCTTTGAGTTTCACTCTAACAGTTGTTTTGTCAAATCTCAGGCATCTAAGGAAGTTCTCTTAGAAGGATACCTTGATGCTGGAGGATTATACTACTTTCCCAATCTCACCTTGAAGACTTTTGTGTCACCAACAGCAAATGCAGCTTGTATCTCATCTGATAAGGTTTCAAATACTTTAGATTCAATTTCCAATAAGTTTTCTCTATGGCATCATAGGCTAGGCCATGCTAACTCTGTAGTTGTTAAAACTGTTCTCAACATATGTAATATCCAGTTGAGCAATAAAGATAATGTTGAATTCTGTAATTCATGTTGTATAGGCAAGTCTCATAGAATATTTGCTCCTCTAACTTCTACTGTATATACTGTATATCATGCACTTGTTTATGATTTCGTATTTTTCTCTTTGTGCACTTGGACATATGTTTATGTTTACGCATTTTTTCCTTTGTCCACTTGGACCTTTATTTTATGTTTAATTCATTAATAAAAGACTTAAAACTCTTTGTGGACTATTGGCTACTACCTTTGGCTTATTGGAGTGGTGGATCTTCTTGGACTTAGGATTAGAAGCCTTGATACCTCGAGACCTTGAGACCTTTAGACCTTGTGTTGCTTTATTATTATTTTGCTTGTGTATTGAGAGATCTTCTGTGTGCAGGTGTTGTTCTATTGGCCTTAAGTGGTCTATATGGCACATGACTCAATATTGAAGATCTTGCTTTGAGTTTTAAAACCTTGGGTTTCTTTGATACTTTCTTACTTGTGATTTTTTTTAACACGATGATTGGTATGCTCTTGGTCTATGTGGTACTTGTGGCTTTAATCTAAAGGATGAGAATTCCATATTGACTTCTTTATGTCAAGTGTTGGCTTCTTGTTGGTTAGACCATTCTCTTCTTAGCTTTTACTTTGTGCTAGTCTCTTCATCTCTTGCCCATTTTCTTTAATTTGTAAAATCTTAATCATACGTCCATCTTTCGCATGATAACTTAGGTAGATGTTTCCTGTTTATCCTTACTTTTGGGCCACCAATGCATGTCAACTTTAGGTTTCTTTCTAGATTCCCTTTAGTATTTTTCTTTCTTTTTTCATCTTTAAAATCAAAACACCTTTTTATATGAACTACGAGTGTCCTGATCCCGTATTGCATGAAAGGTGGTACATAGGCACGAAGGTCCACAACCACAATGGACGCATTAATAAAAACTTTTCTTTTTGTATATACTTTGCATTCATACATTCCCTTTAGCAAATTTAAGCTTTATATAACACACTCCTTTGATTAGAACAAACATAGTGGATCCCGTTGAGTACAACATATGTTTAGAGTGCTAATATCTTCCATTTGCATAACCATCCCTTGTATCTAGATCTCTCTTACTTTAGGTTTTATTCGCTCTTTCCTATTTCCTCTTTGAAACTAATAAAGTGCGGTGGTGACTTTATTGTGTGAGATAAGTTAATCAATGGTTTAGTCTCAAAGTGTTACCGCTACATATGGCATATAATATAATAATCATAAGTCAGTTATGTGATCAAGTTCTGAAGGTAATTCCCATCAATGGAGAATGTGTTGGTTATTATTGAGAATAATGAAGTTCTGATAAGGAAGTTAGGTCTAAAGACAGTTGTTGTTTATAGATACCACAAGAAAGTACTTGCTCATCCATATACTCTGAGTCCAAGGAAGTTGAAATCAGAAGTTGCAACATATGACTGTTAACAAAGCTTTAGAACTTTCTTTTATGGATCCAATGAGGAAAATACATGATAAGAATATTGGTGGACAGAGGCATGTCTGTGTTGGTTGTTTATGAGTTTTTCAATGATCTGGGAAATCTATATTTGTGAAGTCTTCAAAGGTATTTGTCATCTTCTTCAGGGAAAGATAAATTCCAAATGTGATTAATAGATTTGTCTGAGTTACTTTACCAAGAGCATGTCATATAGAGATGATAACTCCATAACCAAGGTCAATGTTTCTAGCATTAAGAGAGGGATTGATGTCTAATCAGATGTTAGAACATTATCTCAGCAGATTGTCTTCAGAAAATGAGGTAGTTTCTTATAAGCTAGCAGGATCTAGATCAAAGAGCTCTCAAGTCAACTAAAGTTCCCTTTTATATTCAGAAATATTATTCAAAGGAACTCTTTATGAATAGATCTCTATTAATTTCCGAGAGATATGTGATTGTGTCAAGTTTTGTATTCAAGTTAATTGAAACCTTGTTTGATTATTTTTGTAGTAAAACTATTGGAACATTATTGATTTACAAGAACAAGTCCGGTGGTGGTTGGATTTCTTCTTGGGAAACAATCTTGTCTCTTGGATCAATAATAAGCTAATTTATGTATCCTAGTTTTTATCTAAGGATAAGTATAATGCTGAATAAATTTATTGCTCTCAATTGAATTGGTTTCTAAAAGAATACAATGTCCAACAGGATGTCATGACATTGTACTGTGGCAAGTTGCTTTCAGCAGGTATTTTCAAGGATGTCAATTTGTATAACAAGACAAAGCTCATTATTATTGGTCATCTTCTTGCCATGGGCCTTGCTACAGGAAAATATTGTTTCTCATAAGCTTTGTATGTTTGAAAAGCTTTAGGAAATATTTTTTTGCCAAATACTTGAGGTGCAAGTTAGGATGAGAATAAGAGGGGTGATTTGGAAATTTGCACGGCTGAAGAATTATAGTTATAACTGTTTGGACGATTTTCCAACTATATTCCTTCATCTAATGATGCATGTAATTTCAGGAGAAATATTTTTCAATGACATAGAGAATGTTAGTTCAAATGTTGTAACATTTTTAAGCAGT